TGAACCGTTTCGCTTAGTAGTTAAAGCGTCTGAACTAAGCGTCAATTTTTACTACAAATTTTAATGTTCCGTCTGCAGATAATGGATTCTGGATAAGCTATTTTGTAACACATAATATGGGTCATATGCCTATTCCCAACACTGTTGGAAAGTAATATAACTTCCCAATAATGTTGATGAGCATTTATTATTTTTGTGATGATCAAACTATACCAGGCCTTCTGAAACTACTTTTGTAATTTTAATGGCGAAACTATTTTATTATATTAAATTTCTGAGTAACGTACTAGTTCTGAATTCAAAATTTAGTTAGACATCTTGTTGATATGCTTTCCGCATCAATGGATTCAAAATTAATGCATATGATTATACCAGGCACGTGGCTTCCTTAATCAGAACTTGACTGTCAATATTGTCTTAAATGTAATAAATGGCGGTCCAGATATTCAAAACCTCTTTGTTAACTTATCTATTAGTTACATTTAATAATATAATTCGTTCTGTAAAAACTTATTTGAACGGAAAGAAATACTTTAGATATAACGCACACGATATTGTCCCTTCTCAATTATTTGCGATTACATGGAGCTTATATATTTCTTTTTAATTTTACATAAAACGTCACAATTTCAACGGTTACTTGTTTCATTACCCTGTGTTATTTTATACATTTAGTTTATATTTTCTGCAAACTTGTATCATGTTGGAAAATATATTAAAACAAATTATTACAACAATTTTAAACTCCTATGTATTCCATATCCTAGCTAATTATTTCATCTCATAAATCCATTACAATTTAATGCCAAAAGAATTATTTTAAATGTAAAGTCCATCACGTGACCCTACCTTAAATTGGCAGACTACATATTCTTGGAATCATTTTTTATTAATAAGTTTTCTCACGATGTTTTCCTTCCAGTGAGGAAGATAATTCGGCAGTTAAATATCAATTTAAACTTTCATTGTTATCGAGAACAGTTAGGATAAAAAATTATTCATTATACATATATATATATGCTTTCAGTACCCACAGATCATTAAAGGAAATAAACTTTTGAAATTCGTAAACTATACATTATTATCCATAGCTATGTGTATTCCTTGTTGTATTAGATTCAATAAGTATTGTATACCTCGATGTTTTCTGAAATGTACAGTTTAATGGGTACCTTGATTGTTAATCTATCTATCAGATGTTAGACAATATTCTATTTTTTAAAAAAGCTTGTCATTTTTTTTTTAAAACAACATAATAGAGCCCCTTCCCAAATGGGTAGTGTTGACACTTTGATTTTAAGAATATTATTTACAAAATTACTTCGTAATTATCTTCTGCTTATGTGGACGTAAATCAGTTAAAATGGTTGACGTATGGTTGTGGATACAGTTATGCGATATGTATTGCTGTATCCATTCGATAACCATACGATGTTCCTTAAACGAATCACTGCACTGAAATCTGGTGTGGTATCTAAATTCTCTGGCAACAATCTGATCAACTGTACCCGTTTAATCTTTCATCCCTACGCTAGGGTGCATAATAATTAAGGCGTACGTCTGACCGTTCGAATTCGGATTATCATATTAAGAGAACATTACAACCGACCAGCAGCTGCACGAAACGAATGTAAACAATTTCATAACATATTCACCAATTCTGATTTCAGCCGGAATTACTGAAAGATTGCACCACAGTCGATATTGAAATGCGGTTCGCCCACCATTCATTCTGAATCTTTCATTGTTTTCAATTAATTTAACAAACAATTCGATACTACTCTGATGTGCGTAATATTTTATTCCTATTGCTTAGGTAATGTAGAAGGATATTGGTAAACAACAATTGTAATTTCAATTTTTTAACATATAAAAAAACGTAGTTTCTTTGGCGGTTCTACTCGAAATCTTGTTTTCGCCTTATATTTTTAGCTCTATGTTGAAAGAAAAGCGTCTTATTTTGTATTTTGTGACTTTTTGGTTTGGCTCCATTAAGGTAATACATTTTGATATTCCAACCTAGATCACGGGTACTTGCCAAGTGATATCAAATCATGATCAGTTGGCATGCTCACGGTGGTGATATCCTTACCTACCGGCCAACTTACCTACAGACACGTTCAGTGACAACCGTTTTATGAAGTTGAATAGTAAATATAACAACTTAATACATATTATTATCTACAAACGAATTTAATGTATTGCTAATAAAGTACCTGATGTAACAAAACATATGCAACATATATACGAATAAATTTGGGTAACAAGACAATAATTTTTATAGTCCTATTAAAATAAAATAGACTTGAACATAGAATAGACGTCTATCAACATAGAACTGAATGTACGAAGACAATCTCATTTTCCTAAACTATACGGTCGTATTACCCACCTATTGTTTAAGTTATATTAATTTTAACTAGGAACACACCAAACACGAACTCCCTAAAACTTTTTTGTCGATACACTATATCTCGCTACATTTCGTATTAAAAACCAATCTACCAGAATTAGAACTTATAAATATTTAGATATTCGCTGCATTTTAAAAATGATGAGCGGTGCAACAAAAGAGTGTAAAGGGAGGTTGCGATTATTCCGTAATTAAGATATTCAATTTAGGGACTTAAAAATATTTAACAGGTTTTTTAATATTTTCAATATTTATGATTTAAATTTTTTTTAAATCAAGCATATGAATAAACTTAAAGCGCCTCTCATAAAAGTAAATGCAAATTAATGTTATTCATCATAAAGAATAAGAGTTTCTAGGCGCTAGCAAGTTTCATTAAATATAAAAGTTGAATAACAATAAAAAAAAATCGTCGGTGTATCAAGGAGTTAGCGAGGTGTCTTAAGTCCAAAAGTCTCTCGTGTGTCATAGTGTTTATGGCGTCCTCAGAACTTTGCACAGTACGTTGGAAGCAACCAGTCGTTGGTCGAAATGAAACACAAAAAATCCACTAGCTGTTTAACTATATTGCATGTATAAATAGAATGCATATTATGTAGATATTAAGATTTAAAAGTTATTTCTCATATTCCTCAGCCAAACAGTGTTCATTCATTACTTTTTTGCATTTATCATAAATAGAATAACTATTTTATTCAAATAAAATGTATCCTATAAAAATCATATTATTTCTATTTTTACTACATGCTCCTGGAGTAGTCAAACATTTAAAATTAATAATTTCTAAAGTTACATTGTAACAAACCTTATTCGAACTGAACATGACTTCATTAAAATAACATCGTCTGAGCCTTCGAGCCAATTTATATAGGAATTTCAGTGATGTATGTCTGCGTTGCCAGATTCAATTACTTGCAAATTGACTACCATCTGTATAAGCTGTGGTTCCCATATACATTTCCTCATCTCACAGATACGTGCATCAATAGGTGTACAGAACTTCAGGTTCAATTTCACATGCCAATAGAAAATAATTAAATTCTTTTGCAGTTCAAGAAAAATCTACTTGCTTGTCTTTAATAAAAAATCTGTCTTTGAAATATTCATCTATTTCGTAAATAATAATAAGCTTTCTGAATCCTCTATTCTTATGGATGATTTTTTTTGTTTTCAGACAAGTAGATATTTCTTGTACACTGAACAACGAATTTACTGAACTGGCTTACTGATTTGCAGTTTAATTAAATATAACTATTCCACGTTTAATGAGCACTATAAATTTAAGGAATAAGTAAAATGTTATAAATAACATACCAGCCGCAGTAACTGTTTGTCAAGGGCAAGTTCGTCCGTGTAAGTACCACGACCTCACAGACGATCGGCGTGAAGTGGAAGTGTTTACTTCTACGTTTCAACTAGTGAGTGAGGTAGCCAGGGGCCCATTTTATTAATAAGTGGCAACGCATCTGCAACCATAAGGTTGTTGCAAATATCAACGGGCGGCGGTTATCACTTAACATTATTTGAACACCAAGCTCGCATGCCACCTTCTCACATACAAAATTTCTTGAGAACAGTTTGCATCCAAGGAGTATATGAAATATTATGAGCCTTTAGTTTTCAATTCAACACTCACAATCATTTTAAAGCATAAATCATGCACGAAATACCGACTAGAATTTATGCAGCAACCAGCCTTGTATAATCATACCATCTATTTGCTCAAAGTGCTTTAACTCAGTTAACTGTATCATTTGAAGCTATCACCCGCAGGTCTGGGGCATAAATAACTTAGGCGGCCATACGACGGCTGTTTGCATTCGGATTATCATATTAAACTGACATCAGTGGCGACGTCCATCTACTCGATACGAATGAACAATATCATGCAACATTTATTAAGCAAACTTCAGTTACAATCGCGGAGGGGCGCCCGCACGCTTTATATTAAAACGATGTGGTGTACCCATGCTGCATACGGAATTTGTAACGATTTCGATCCTATCCGGGTTTTCAGAGGATTCCGCAGATTGTTTCCAAGAGCTCATGGATACAAGAAATTAAATTTAAAAAAAAACATTTAAAAGTTGATAAATTTATAAAAAATATACAACGGTTCTATTAAATGATAGGATTGTATTTACACTTCACTTTTGTGTAATAAGATCGTATTTCGACTTTTTTACTTTTCTGAACTAATGCCTGTTATTATATTTTACATATATTTAAGCATTTTGTATAGATAAAGATAAGTGTAATATATATAACTTCCACTTCACGCCGATCTTCAGTAAAGCCGTTATACCTTTTTTTATATAATACTAGCAACCCGCCCCGGCTTCGCCAATGCAGTGTATAACACATATAAAAAAATCTTCCTCTTGAATCACTCTATCTAGTAAAAAACATCGCATCAAGATCCGTTGCGTAGTTTTAAAGATATATACAGCGTGTCGTTACCATCGCGGCAATAAATGAACACACATATAGGGGATAAATTTTTAAAATTGTATTAAACATTTACATTCTTTAAATATAAATATAAATATAAATACGAATACGAATACGAATACGAATACGAATACGAATGTGGATGTGGATGTGGATGTGGATGTGGATGTGGATGTGGATTGGGATGTGGATGTGGATGTGGATGTCGATGTCGATGTCGATGTCGATGTCGATGTGGATGTGGATGTGGATGTGGATGTGGATGTGGATGTGGATGTGGATGTGGATGTGGATGTGGATGTGGATGTGGATGTGGATGTGGATGTGGATGTGGATGTGGATGTGGATGTGGATGTGGATGTGGATGTGGATGTGGATGTGGATATGGATATGGATATGAATATGAATATAAATATAAATATAAAAGATATATATATAAAGATAATAAGATAAGCATACATAGGGACAGACAGACAGCAGGACGACTTTGTTTTATATTATGTAGTGTAGATGGCAAGTGAGGTGGCGGTTCATCGGATGTAAAGCGATAACCACCGCCCATTTGCAACACCCGTAGGGTTAAAAATGGTTTCTCACCTTCAATAAAGTGGACCCCGATTACCTTACAAACCAGATGAAACGCAGAGTATTACACTTGCACCTCAGGCCAGTCTTTTGCGAAGTCGTGATACTTCGTCTTCCCCGGTAGAGACTGCCGATTCGTACGATAGCAAAAGCTATTGCGAGGCCCTACCCTAGATTTGTTATATTGAATAGGGGTTAGACTAACTTCAGACTAAGTACAACTAATTTAGTTGTACTTAGTCTGAAGTTAGAAATATGCAGTGATGATATTGACATAAAATGACCGCATAAGTTTTTCTATATAAATTTTATTTTTTATTTGATGAAATTTTTAATTTGATGTTTCGAATGGCGTAGTGTGTAGTGTACCTGCCTCCTTCACCAGAGGGTGTGGGTTCGATCACCACTATTGAAAAAATATTGTGTGAAGAACATAGTGTTTTTCTAATGTCTGGTTTTTTTATGTGAGAAGTTTCCAAACGCGCAGACGGTTCACCTGATGTTAAGTGAATACCGCCGACGATGGACATCTGTTACACTATAGGGTTCCAGATGTGTTGACAACCTTTTTAAAATTGGGCTCCGGCCACCTCACTCACCAGACGAAGCGTGAAAGTATTATACTTCCACTTCACGCCGGTCTTCTGTATTTAAGTACTTTTATCAATTATCTGTGTAATGTGTATCAGCGATCTAGTACAAGCGTTGCTTAGTTTGGGACTAGAGAATGTTGCATAAAAATGTGTCCTAATAAATATATATAGGCAGGTACATAAAAATGTTTTCTCTTCTTTGGCTTCGGCGATTCATTTAAAATGTACAAAAATCATTTGATATTTTCAAGTATGTCATCGTCCGAAAACTAAACCCAAACTAGACTAGATGTGTCCGACACATACATAATATAGTAGAATCAATACCTTTTGTCCCTTGCTGAAATTCGGAGTTAAACGGAACCTTGCAAATTGGTATTCACTTCAAACAACTTTTTAAATAATCAAATAAATTTCTGATCTTTGCTTCTTCTTGTTGTAAAACGCAACAAATGAAAGCAACGGCGCCCTTGAATCAAATGGTTAACTAAAAATATTCAAATAATTATTTAAAATTGATGTGTTTTAATTTCCTCTCTTGACCCTGAGGGATGATGCTCATCGATAATGGATTTTAAAGCTTAAAGCTAGAAAAAGGGCTAAATAAGTAACACTGATCGCCAAAAAGTCGAAAATTGTCTGTAATTCATAAAAAAATTTATTTGTTTTTACCCTCGGACTCAATAAGTTAATCTGGCATTTTTAAATTCTTTGGTGAAATTGTTTAACTCTATGAGCCAATGTGACAAACGACTATTATGTCTTTCACAGTTTGAATGTATACAATTAATGTTTAATTTATTTTGTTTTGTGCATTTAGAAAACACACTGTTTATAAAATTTTACCTTCCTGCACTTTTTCTCCATATAAATATGCCAAATTTCGCACACTCTTAAAAAGTGATTTGAAATTTTCGCTTAACGTAAGTACAGTTAAATTTTCAAGAGGGCGTGGATGGCCCGACCCGAAACTAAATGGAAATAGACTTTGCCTAACTCATTTATTTTGGGAAAAAAGAAATCCATAATACCACTAATAAGTATAAAATTCTAGAAATTGAAATGTGAGCGCGTAATTCAGATGAAGCAGGCTCGAATCCTAGGCGCCGTAAGTTTATGATAATTTATCTACAAACATTCATTTATTAAGTAATCCTTACTAAGATTATAAAGGCAAAAATTTGTATGTATGGATGGATGTTTGTTACTCTTTCACGCAAATACTATTGAATGGATTTTTATGAAACTACAATAATATAGCTTATACATCAGAATAAGACAGGCTATAATTTATGTACGTATTTCATGTATATAAATTAATATATATCTGTGTTTATATTTATAAATATCTCTCTTTCCGTCTGAACGTTACGCCTTCAGCCTATTCTACGACGTTGTCGCGGGCAGCAGCTAGTTATGTATATAATGAATATAAGCAACCGAGAAAAATTCAATAACTCAGTTGTATACTACTCTTTGGTAATTATGGAATCAATATTTTAGTCTAAAAAGGTTATTTTATTTATAGGAGTGATAATACATTTTTTCCTTTAAACAATTGTATAAATAGAACTGCGAAAATAATACTGCCTCATTAAAAGTTTTCTGAACTTTATCCTCAAATTTTTTAATGATCATGACTAGTTTCGAGTTACAGGTAGAATCTTTTCTCATTATTGCTGTTATTTTTCCAGTTTATTCTTCTTATCAACAACCTCAACACTCAAATTATTAGTAGGTATCAAATGAAAGTGAAAAGTATTTTATAGTCAACCAAAGTATTATAACGATTTTATAGCAAATTTACTAAGGTGAAATTTTACCTTTGCTCCAAAATACAGTTCTGCAGAGCATCTCTCCATTTCCAATTGTTACCGAGTTACTGACCTGGACAAACTTCCAAAAGTTCAGCACTTAAATGTATTACCTCGTTTCGAGTTTTATGCGCACGTATTCCTGGTTTGCAGTTAGATGAACTATAGTTGCTTCCAAGTTCTGAAATACGTGAATTCTAACAAAATGTGTCATAAAATTTACAATTTATCATATTACGAATAACACGATAAAGATTTAATATAAAGATTTCGCGGCAAAATAATTCATTAGGAGTTCGTACATCTGAAAATGTTAGGATATAGAAATGTAACAGATAATTGTAACCATAATTGAATTTATATACTTTTAATACATTCTTGGTATTTCTTTCTTAAGATTTTGTGAAATGTGACGGTTGAAAACTTTCAATATATCAGCGATCACAAATTTAATCATTTCGTATTGCATTGAATTAAAAACAGAGGAGGACACATCTCTATACTCGAACGTAGTAAAATGTAGCCGGTACAATGCATTTTAAGCTTAATGGATCCCAAACGTGATGTGGAAAACGATTGTATACCATTTTATGCCTATCGCGCTACAACGGCTGCCGAAACAATATTAAATTTTTAGATTTAAAATTTTAAAAAGCGAGCAACTGACTTTGTAACTTCAAATTAGGAGTTTATATGAGGTGAGGAAAATAACATACACATGCCAGTAACACGGACTGCCACAAACATGATATTATATAAAAATAAGATGTGATATTAAAACGTCTACATATCCTCTTTTCGTCTTATTTTTTGAGTATTTGTTGTTATATCGAAAACAGAAATAGACCATCTGTGAAAATTTCACGGTTCATGAGATGCAGCCTGGTAAAAGACGGACAGACAGACAGTCATTAATTTATAGACTTAAAATGTGATGAAATGACAGGACACTTGTTATAACTACTCTACAAAGGGAAAAATATAGTTATATTAACTAAAACACAATGCGCTATATAACAAAGCTGTTTTGATAAGAAAGCAGTAAAAGTTTTACAAATTGAATTTAGCCAGATTTACTGTCTTGCTCGCTTCGTTCTCGGAAAGATTTTGCACCTGACACGACTTACAAATTGTATTGGCATGCCTACTCGCCTCACTCCTACTTTAATGTCTAAATTAAGACCATTGTCTGAGATTGGATATGTTTTACATTTTTACGGAAGAAATGAATCAAAGTTTTGTGTCATAAGTAATAATGAATCTGTAAATCATTGCAAAGGGGGTGGTATAAATTATATTGCATATCTCCTGAAATCATCACAGAACTCTAATAATAATGTCAGTATCATACAAATAAAAAAGCAAGGACAGACATTTTATTATTTTATATATGAGGAAAATACAACATCATTATTTGTCCCTATTATTTCAATCAAAATAACAAACCTAAGAATGATCTTGAAAATTTATTCAATTCTACCAATCCCCTTTCTACATAGTTGCAGCTGTTGTACAGTGTCACAGGAGCTCCTAAGCTGTTCCATTCTTTCTCTTCTACTCGAACAATAGTCCAAAGTCTTTGACGATCTAGTAAACATTTTTGGACGTATGTTACAACCAATTAAATTTTGCCCCAGCTATAATAGATAAGAACAGTAAATTTATACAATATCATGTAATTAGAAGTAAAAGCGAAGGATAGTTCAGATCACTGTAAAATAAAGTCGTCCCGCTATTTGTCTGTCCCTATGTATGCTTAGATCATTAAAACTGCTCAACTCTTGATGCGGTTTTTTTACTAGGTAGAGTGATTCAAGAGGAAGTTTATATGTATAACTAGCGATCCGCCCCGGCTTCGCACGGGTGCAGTGTATTATATACATAGAGATTATTATACATAGAGACAGACAGGCAAGCGGGACGACTTTGTTTTATACTATGTAGTGATACATTACACCCGTGCGAAGCCGAAGCGGGTTAGAAATAAATATCAAAAATATTTCATTAAAAGGAACACATATTTTTAAGTAATTCATAAAAATTTATCCTTCAAAATGGTCCGACATGGTCTAATATTGGCAATAATCCAGCAGAGTGAAATAGCCATACTATTAGAGGAAACCAACATTTTCAAAAGCTGTCAACGCATTTGCAAACACTCAGGTATTGTAGATGTCAATGGGCGGCCGTGTTCACTTAAAATAAGATGAACTGCCTGCTCACTTGACAACTTTTGACATAAAAAAATTATAATTTAAAAAAAACTAAAAAAATTATGGCTTATCCTGAAATAATCTGAGCGATCAGGATGATGGGATAAAGTAATAAAATTATTGCACTGTCAGCGGTCCTTGATAAATGTGCAAAGTTTCACTTTTTGAATTTGGTCGAAATAACCTTCGATG